GACTGGAGCAAGCATTAGGAGACTGAGCTGTTTGATTCCTTCTTGCCTTTATTCCACTCAACACACATCTCCCGGGAGTATCCTATGTGCCTGAGCCCGTGCTGGGGCCTGGGACAGTTTCCACTCTGCGAGCTCTTGTGAGCTCAGGCTCTGGGCCATCAGAGAACTGATGCAGGGACTGTACCAGGCAGGAATGGGCTCTGGAAGGAATGTGTGTGGCTCCAGGTCAGCTAGGGAGATAATAGGCTCTGGTCCCTGTCCCAAGCCCACTTGCTCCTCTCCTGTGGCCGGGAGCTGCCCACTCCCTAAACTGAGCTGTCCTCATCACACCCCTGTTGCTGTCACTGACAGCCCTCTCAAGACCTGGTCTGGAGGGACAGGGTCTGGGGGTTTTGGATCCCAGGGGTTCAGGAAAGGGGGCCTAAGCTTCAGAGACCCTTTGTCTGGGTCTGGATGGGGCCTGCTCTTGGTCTTCACGCCCCATGGGATTCTGGGGCCTGATGCAGTCTTCAGAGGGCCATCCTCTTGTCCAGCCACCAACTAAATCTCCGCAAAGGAGAACTGCCTGCCATGCATCCTCACCGCATGCTCACCTTCTGTTTCTCAAATATGAAGTTCTCCCTGATCAATTATGTCTGCCACATCAAGACCTCAACACCCTCTGCCCACCCCAGCCCCAAGGCCTTGGCTCTGTCTGACAAGGCCCAAGAAAGGCTTCCTGGAGGCCAGATTTCCAAATCACTATCCTCTGAGAGTTTTCAAAGATCGAACTGTCTGAAGACATCTTAGACCTCATCCAGATCTTTCTATCTCTGGCCTCTGCCCTCTCTTCTCTGGGAAGTCATGCTGGGGTCTCCCCGCAGCCTCTTGCTGCAGCCTATCTTGCTGTTCCTGTCCCAGCTGGGGCCTGCTACGCTCAGTCAGTGACCTTCATCCTTCCTGCTATTTGCAGAGACATCCTCAGGATCCGTGTTCCAGTGATGCTGGGAGAAAGAGAGGCCCGGGCACCCCAGCCCCCACTGGCCTCAGCGCCCCTCTGAGCTTCATCCCTCGCCACTTCCGACCCAAGGGGGCAGGCAGCACCACCGTCAAGATTGTCCTGAAGGAGAAACATAAGAAAGGTGGGGACTGAACCCTCCTCCAATCTGTGAGGCAGGGAAGGAGGGCCCTGACTGCTCCCACCTCCCACCCCCAACCCCCTGTACTCCCCACTCAGCAGTTCCCCAATTCCAACTTGGCCATGAGCTTGTAGACTCGGAGAATGCCAAAACTGAATGAAGGTGCTCTTAAAGATCATCAGGTTCAAGCCCCCATTTGACAGATGAGGACACTGAGGTTCAGAGTACTGAGTTAGAGACAACTAGTCCTGGAACAGTATAAGATTTTTTTTTAGCATCTACCGCATCTTTGCGGGGAAGAGGGGCAGACAGAACAGACAGATGGCAAATGGAAAATGGTCTCTGCCCTTGAGGGGCTCATAGACTAGTTGGGGAGACAGACAAGTAAATAAATGACTTTCATATAAGGAAGTGTGCTGAGGGACAGTTTCTGACAACAGAAGGAGGGAGCAGAGCGAGGTTGCAGGAGGACAGTGGGGATGAAGGAGGGAAGGTGGTCAGATGGGCAGCCATGGCCACAGAAGGGGAGAAGAGTCCTCCCCACAGAGTGCCCCGACTGCTGGAGAAGGAAGAGCTGTGGCACTACTGAGTCCTTGCCCTGCCTCGTTCAGATGGGACACCGAGGCAGAGGGGGGAAGGGACCTGCCAGAGCTCACATGACCAGGTGGTGACAAAAGTTGATCTCAGTTCTCCCACAAGATCAGCACTCTCCTTGCTCCCACAGAAGTGCCCTGAAGGGCGAGGGAGGACTCTCCATCTTCAGCAAGTTCCTTCAGGGCCCATCTCAGTTCTGAGTGCTACAGTGGGCGGTGTCCAGGAGAGGGGACAGGTTTTATACCCTGGCCTATGCTTTGCAGGCAGTGTGGCTAGGCTGGACTGGTACAGTGAGGGCTCTCCAAGGGCCCACCCCACCCGCTGCTGGACCAGAGGCCCTGGCCACGTCTGAGGCCCTGATCCTCCTCCTTTCTCACCCTCATTCAGCCTGCGTGCATGGCGGGAAGACGTACTCCCACGGGGAGGTGTGGCACCCGGCCTTTCGTGCCTTCGGCCCCCTGCCCTGCATCCTATGCACCTGTGAGGATGGCCGCCAGGACTGCCAGCGTGTGACCTGTCCCACCGAGTACCCCTGTCATCACCCCGAGAAAGTGGCTGGGAAATGCTGCAAGATTTGCCCAGGTACACAGGCGGGTGCCGGCCAGAGTGAGCCCTGGGTCTCTCTCCCCAGGGTCACAGACACTTGGAACATCTCAGACATGGAAGGGCATGCATCAGTGCCACAGGATGCAGGGCATGTCAGACACACAGGAGTGGAAAACGTCAGATGAAAATATCAAATGGATAGAACCATGTGGTGTCAGGATAATAGATTCAGAGGTTGTTAACATAGAATCAAATAATGTTCCAGATTCCATGAAGTCACAACCTTTTAGAATGTTAGAGCTTTGAAGAGGTACAGCCACTGTTTATTGAACAACTTCATGAGCTGCTTGTCTCTCCAGAGGACAAGGCGGACCCTGGCCACAGTGAGATCAGTTCTACCAGGTGTCCCAAGGCACCGGGCCGGGTTCTCGTTCACACGTCGGTATCCCCAAGCCCAGACAACCTGCGTCGCTTTGCCCTGGAACACGAGGCCTCAGATGTGGTGGAGATCTACCTCTGGAAGCTGGTAAAAGGTGAGTGTTTGCCCACTCCCAGTGGGGTGTACCTCTGGCCAGTCCCCCTTCCCGTGCCCCAGACCCCACAGGAGCCTTAGGGACACTTTGCTGATCAGGTGCCTCTGGCTGCCCCACCAGGTTTAAGAGCCCCTGATTCCAAGATGCAGGGAGATAGTGAGCCTGACTGGTTCTCTACAGTTCTGATAAGCTCCTCCTGCTGATGCCAAGGCTCGATAGTGCTCCCTCTCCTGGGAGGAAGGCGCTGTTGCACCTTGTGAGGAGCCAGGCAGGGTGATGCCTGCCCTGGAGAAATAGATGTCTAAGCAGGATTTTAGCACTGGGGGTGGGGGTGTGGGGGCGGTCTTCTCAGGCAGGAGAGCCCTCACAGCATCCTCAAAGTAGGAGGGCCTGGAGGCTGGCTGTATTCAGTCTTTTTAAAGTGGTGGATCTTATCACTCCCAGGTAAGTGGACATCAGAACTATAGTTCTCATTCGGTGAGAAACCCACCCTCTTCAACAGTCTGTTGCTATCACCAACTTAAGGTCAAGAGGAGTTTTTTCTACTTTTTTTTTTTTTTTTTTTTTTGAGACAGGGTCTCAGTCACCCAGGCTGGAGTGCAGTGGCATGATCTTGGCTTACTGCAACCTCATCCTCCTGGGCTCAAGCGCTCCTCCCATCTCAGCCTCCTGAGTAGCTGGGGCCACCATTCCCAGCTAATTTTTGTATTTTTTTTCTTTTTTGTAGAGATGGGGTTTTGCCATGTTGCCCAGGCTAGTCTCGAACTCCTGGACTCAAGTGATCCTCCAGCATCAGCCTCCCAAAGTGCTGGGATTACGGGCGTGAGCCACCACACCCAGCAGGTTTTCATTGATGAAGAAATTGCTGAAAGTTCAGTTTTGTGGCCTTTCTTGTAAAACATAACCTCTGGGTAGAGTGAACTGTTAAGCCATGATCCAAACTAAACTCTTTTAAGTGTGAATTATCTCTAAAGTTCCTTTCCTCTACTGATGGTTTTGGCTGGCGGGGTGGGGGTGGAAGAGGGAATGATAAGAAAAATGACAATGATAATAATAACCAATGTGTGTAGCACTTTGGAGTTTACAAAGTGCTTTCACATTCACTATCTCATTTGATCCTCAACGATCCTGAGAGTTAGGTATTATTATCCCCATTTTACAGATGAGGAAACTGAGGCTCAGAGAGGTGAAGTACCTGGCCCAAGGCCACACAGCCAGTAAGTGGAGGACGGGAGCTAGAGCCCATGTCTTGTGGCGTCAGATGCGGCTCTTTCCCTGCTCTACTCTGCCCCCTGTCGTAGGAGGAATGGACGAAGAAAGTGGAGCTGTTCAGCCTGGAGAAGAGAAGACTCAGGGGGACAGGACTGCTGGCTTCGTGGCTCTGAAGGGCTGTCCCAGGCAGAGGGAGCAGCCGTGTTCTGAGTGACCACAAGGGTCAAACAACAAGCAGGGGCTTTGGGTTCGAATCCCAACTCTGCCAGTTTGAATCCAGACTGTGCTATACCTTAGCTGTGTGGCCTTGGGCAGTCATGTGATCTCTCTGGGCCTCAGGTTTCTCTTCTGTAAAGTAGGGAAGAGGGTTTTTGGAGGATTAAATGACATGACATCAGTGCAGCCCCTGACATACAGCAGGCACTAAAAATGTCAGTCTTCTCATTCCACCACATTGGGATGGTGAGAAATGCAGAGAGGCAGCTTTCAGCTCCAAGAGAGGAAGAACGTTCTCATGCTTAGAGGCTTCTGCCAGTGGAAGGGAGGGAGCAAGCTCCAGTTACGAGAAGCGTGCAAGCAGGGGCTGGTGGGGATTCTGTCTGCAGCTGGGGAGTTAGATTCAGTAACCCTTAACATTTTTTGAGCCTTAAGATTCCATCAGTCCCGGCTGGGCCCGGTGGCTCACACCTGTAATCTCAGCACTTTGGGAGGCCAAGGTGGGCGGATCGCTTGAGCCCAGGAGTTTGGCCAACATGGTGAAACCCCATCTCTACTGAAAATACAAAAATTAGCCAGGCGTGGCGGGCGCCTGTAGTCCCAGCTACTCGGGAGGCTGAGGCAGGAGAATCACTTGAGCCCAGGAGGAGGTTGCAGTGAGCTAAGATCGTGCCACTGCACTCCAGCCTGGGTGACAGAGTGAGACTCCGTCTCAAAAAATATATACAATAAAAAGAGTCCGTCAGTCCCTGGGCAGGTTTTGGCCACATATTTACTCTGGGCCTCTCTCCCTCTGCTGCCTGCAACTAAGTGCCGGGACATGGAGCATAATAGGCCCCAGCCTCTGTCTTTAGGAGGTCATGGCTTAGTGACCTGGGTGCAGCGGAGCTTATTGGGAGCTGAGCTGGTCACGGATGGCTTCGTGGAGAATGGGCCTCAATGATGTAAAGAGCCAATGAACAGATAGTGTACCTAAAAATTAAAATAAATAAGTAAATAAAGAGGCAGGAAGGGTACACTGCATCCAGGATGACAGCGAAAGTCTCAAACGCTGGTTCCAGAGCTCACGCCCATATGCCCTGTGCTCTGTGATTGGTGTGTAGCAGGCACTATATATAATGTATCTCATTTAATCCTCTTAAGAAACCTAAGGGACATGTATTAATGCCCCCATTTTGCAGGTAAGAAAACTGAGTCTGAGAAGTCAAATGACTTACACAAAGTCACGCAGTTTAAGCAGTAAAGCAAAGATTCAAATCCAGATCTGACTGTCCCCGGTGCCACCTCCATAGAGGTGACTTTGTGCTTTTAGGGAGGATGGCCAAGGTGTGCCAGGATGGCACAGTGGGGACATAGCTCATGGCCAATCTCATTGCCACCGGCCCAGCAGAAAAGGAAAAACAACTTCACAATGCCAGGCCCTGCCATCCTGTCACTAGCAAACCGCACCCCATCTCCTCACCCTGTGGGTTGCCTAAATGCCCCATCAACCTCCCTGTTCCCTCCCCGTCCCAGACCGTGGGAGTTAAAACAAACACTCCCCAGGGTTGATTGTCAGTGGGAACCACTCACTGTCTCCCCAACCCAAGGAACGGAAACAAAGTGAGCAGGCAGATGCTAGGTGAGGCCACACCACGAGGGGCCAGCCCCAGACACCAGAATCTAACCAGATAGTTGGCTTAGGGTTAAGGGCCTTTTAAAGTTTCACAGTAGAAAGGATGTCAGGGGTCTCAATTCCAAGCCCTGCCTAGGAAGGAAGCCCCCCTGCAGCCTCCTGATGGCCTGATGGTGTCTGGTGCCTGACTGTACATACCCCCACTCCCACACCAGATATGTGACTCACTTCCAACACTGTGAATTGCTTAGCCCAAAGGGCATCTGACTTCACACTGAGCTGAGCCTATCCTGTGTCCCTGGACCCGCCCATTGGTCCCTGCTCTGCATTGAGGATCCACAGAGCCCACCTGCCCTCAGACCTGCCACAGCCCTTCAAAGGGCAAGAGGCACAACCATGACCCTCAGGCTAGCTCTTGATTCCAGGCCAGAGACCCAGTCCTTTCAATTATGTTTTACAGACCACAGTGTGGGAACCCGCCCTCATCCCTGCCACCTTCTCTCCAATTTTTCTGTAACTTGGGAGCATGCAGTGGCAGGCTTGTGCCAAAGGACCCAGCCCCATCTCATCTCTCCCCATCTCATCTCATGCTTGTTGCCTGCCGCTATGATATAGTCCCTGGGCCTTTGGAGTTTCTTCCATATCCTGGTCCTTGGCATCTGGGCTGGGGGGTCCATGGACAGTGCTGGACATTTCCTGATTCCTGGAACTCAGTCCCAGGATCAGGGTTTTCTGTTCCCCTTGGCAGGAATCCCACGCTGATTCCCATAAAGCAGGGCCAGTTCTTGGTCTTCTTAAAGGCGGTGTTGGCCTAGCAGAGGCCTTGCTGGTTGCATCTGTTCTTTCTGGCCAGAGACCTTGGTGGGTAACAGCTGGTGCAGCCTCACAGCCCATGTGCTCAGGGCCTCAGAGCTATGTGTGGTGCCAGTGGCCAGCTCCCCATGAGATGCAAACATCAGGGGATCCAGCTAATACCTCATTCCCCCTTGAGGCCTGGCCTAGACTGGGTGTGGTGTGTGTGTGTGTGTGTGTGTGTGTGTATGTGTGTGTACTTGTTCATCTGTCCAACCATCCATCCATCCATCCATCCATCCATCCATCCATCCATCCAGGGATTCATTCATTCTACATGCCTAATGTGGGCCAGGCTCAAGAGACCCAGAGAGGAGAGCCCTCTCTGGGAGTCCCCAGTCTGGTAAAGGAAGCAGGAGTAGGCACAGTGAGAGCACATTAGAAACAGGCACAATCACAGATGGAAGCCAGGTGCTGTGGGTGCCCCAAGGAGGAATTGCCTCGGGTGGATTAGGGAAGCCTTCCCAGGTAAGGCTTGTAGCACAGGTAGGAGTTCATTTGGTGCCAATAGTAGAAGTAGTGGCCAGGTACAGTGGCTCACGCCTGTAATCCCAGCTTGTGCTTTGGGAGGCCAAGGCGGGTGGATCATTTGAGGTCAGAGTTCGAGACCAGCCTGGCTAACATGTGAAAACCCAGTCTCTACTAAAAATACAGACACACACACACACACACACACACACACACACAGAGTTAGCCAGGCGTGGTGGCGGGCACCTGTAATCCAAGCTACTCAGGAGGCTGAGGCAGGAGGATCGCTTGAACCCAGGAGGCAGAGGTTGCAGTGAGCTGAGATCACGCCATTGTACTCCAGCCTGGGCAACAAGAGCAAAAACTCCATCTAAAAAAAAAAAAAAAAGAAGTAGAAATAGAAGGCAATAGTAGAAGGTATTCCAGGAGAGGGAATGGCATTTGGAAAGGCTTGCCTCCTCAGGGGACGTCAAGTATTTGGTTAGGGCTAGGGCACAGGCAAGCCACTATTACTCTGCCACTTGCTTGTTCTTTGGTATCTGAATAACCACACCTATTGATTTTTATCATATGTTCTATGCCCTGAGAAAAGTGTGACCAGTCCACATGAGCCAGCCAACCTTCCTTCCTCCCTTCCTGCCCTCCTTTCCTTTTTCCTTCCTTCTCTTTCCTTTCTTCCTTCTCTCCTTCCTGCCTTCTGCCTCCCTCCCTCCCTGCACTGGGGACAGGTGGGTGTTGTGAGAGCAGGATGGTGCAGGTGACAGGAGCAGGGTCGGCAGAGAGAACAGATGGAAGAACACAGGCTTCGCCGTGGAGGCGACAGGACGTCAGGGAATGGGAATGACAGGGTGATGTATACATGTTCTAATGACCACAGCTAGGACTGCAGATTAGAGGGGGAGTGAAAGGGGTTAGGACTGTAGTGTAGTGACCCAGACAAGACAACAGGGGCCTGAGTGAGGATAGTGGCAGCGAGGTAGGAGAATGGATTCAAAATATTGAGGAAATGTCATCAGCAGGATTTTGTGTCTGATCAGAATAGGGGTGGGGGAGGGAGTGACTGAGTCCGTTCTGTGCTAAGTCACCCTGTTTCACTTTTCACTGACTGTAAGTTTTTGCCTTTCCTGCTCACGTCCTTGTCTCTGCCCTCAGGGATCTTCCACTTGACTCAGATCAAGAAAGTCAGGAAGCAAGACTTCCAGAAAGAGGCACAGCACTTCCGGCTGCTCGCTGGCCCCCACGAAGGTAGGAGCTTGGGCTGAGGAATGGGGCCTGGAGAAGAAGGCAAGGACACAGGCCAGAGCCTCTCGGGGAGTTCCCAGGCTGCTGGTGCTGGGAGGAGGGGCTGTCAGCCACAGACGTCAATTCCCAGCACAGGAATCCAGTGGGTGTCTGCGCCAGAGATTTCCCAACTCCAGAGCGGGAAGGTGAAGCAGAGCTGGCTGGATTTGATCTTGGGGGTGGAGAGAGACAGGGCTGTGGGGTGGGGAGGTCTGAGCCCCCAAACCTGTGTGCTGCCCACTCCCTCTCTACTGGAACATTTCCCACTTTCCTTCTATACTTTACTCTTAGGAAGGTGGACCCAGGTGGGGCTTCGGGTCGGGGAGGGGAGGTCACAGAAAGGAGTATTACCAACAGGTGTCAGGAAACCAGCTCTGTCCCCCAAGGTTGTTTGAAAGCTGAGTCATGTGCCCCAGCCGTGTGATGGGACACTTACCTCCAGGCTCCCTGTGGGCTCCAAACCCTGGCCCTTGCAGTTCCTCCTGGCCCAAGGCTTTTCCAGCCCCCAGCCCCTGCCTCTGTTGTGCATGTGCAGCATACGCGCCCTTCTCTTTTCTGCCCTCCTCCATGCAGGTCACTGGAACGTCTTCCTAGCCCAGACCCCGGAGCTGAAGGTCACGGCCAGTCCAGACAAAGTGACCAAGACATTATAACAAAGACCTAAACAGTTGCAGATATGAGTTTTATAATTGTTATTATATATTAATAAATAAGAAGTTGCATTACCCTCAACCCTGCCTTCTGGGTTCATATCCAGTCTCCTGCATGCTCTCCCAGCAACTCCGCAAGGCAGGCCTGGTTATCCCCATTTTACAGGGATGGAAACCGAGATCCAGAAGGGACAGAGAATGGTCCCGGTCCTCACAGTGAGTTGTCACCGGAGGCAGGGCTAGCTTCCCCAGCCTCCTCACCCAGGCCCCCCACCTGCAGCGCCTCCTGCTTTTCTGGGCAGCCCCCCTCCCACAGCTCTTTGACACTGAGCCTCAGAAAGAGGAATGACTCTAATTAGCCAGGGGAGGGCGCTAATTGAGCCTTAAAGCACTTTCCCAGCAAATATTCCTGGGATCCTCACTACTCTCTTCACACCCTACAACGAGGAAACCCAGTTAGGGAGGAGCAGTGGGCAGTCATTTGCCCGAAGCCACAGAGCTGCTTAGTAGCAGATCTAGAGTTGGAAGCCAGATCTCTCGCTCCAGGCTAGCACTCCTTCCCCAGTTCCACAGTGTGGCCAGTGTCACAAGCCCAGATAGCCTCACCTCAGAGGATTTCCAAGACTGAGCGGTCAGATTGCCAATTGGCACCATGCTCTGAGAAGGCCCAACAGTTACAATTAAAGACACCATTAGGGCCAGGCGCGGTGGCTCATGCCTACAATCCCAGCACTTTGGGAGGCCGAGGCAGGTGGATCATCTGAGGCCAGGAGTTCGAGAACAGCCTGGCCAACATGGTGAAACCCCATTTCTACTAAAAATACAAAAATTAGCCAGGCGTGGTGGTGCACGCCTGTAATCCCAGCTACTTGGGAAGTTGAGGCACGAGGATTGCTTGAACCCAGGAGGCAGAGGTTGCAGTGAGCCGAGATCATGCCACTGTACTCCAGCCTGGGCAACAGAGCAAGACTCCATCTCTAAAAATATTAATAATAAAATAAAGACACCATCAGTTATTTATCCTGCCGACGTGTACAAATCCTTATAATTTCAAAGATGTTTTAATGCCCATGATTTCACTAAAGGTGAATGGTGTAGGCACTACCCACATTTTAGAGAGGAGGAGACGGACTCGGGACCACCGCATGTCTTCCCCAAAGCCTCACAGTGCTGTACTGAAGCCAGGGCTAGAACTCAGGTCTTCCGGCCCCAGGCAGGGTTCTCTCCTCAGGATAGCTGGTCTCAACCCTCTCACAACTATGGCTTCTCCATCCCCTCCCCACCCAAGCCTGATCAAAGCTCCAGAGCAATGGTGGAGAGTAGTCTGTTGACTGGACTTGTGCAGCCACTGAGAGGGCTTGGTGTCATTGTCTCCATAGCCTTGGTCTTTTTTTTTTTTTTTTTTTTAAGAGATGGGGTCTTGCTATGTTGCCCAGGCTGGTTTAGAACTAATAGGCTCAAGCAATCCTTCTGCCTCAGCCTCCCGAAGTACTGAGATTACAGGCATGAGCCACTAAGCTGGCCTCCATAGCCCTAATCTTGAATCTAGGGTTACTAAGGTTTGGGAAGTCGGCTAAGGTTTGGGAAGTCTTATTGAGCAGGGATGAGTGTCTCCCTCCCCTAACTCCTCTGCCAGCTCCCAGGGTCTGGGTTTGAAAGTTTGGGGTTTCAGGCTGGAACCTCCCAACATCCCCTGAGTCAGAAGACATTCACCTTCTCCCCTCACAGCCTCTACCTGTCCCTCCTCGACGACTCACAATTTTGGCCTGGCTTGCTCACACAGAGGGTTCACTTGGAGCTTTGGAGATGGGTTCTGAGCTTGCCTCATTTAAAGTGCAGGAATCTGAAAGCTTAACCATTCACAGGATAAACTCTGGTCATCCTTCAGTCTAGCTCAGATGTCTTCAGTGATACCTTCCCTGACACATCTGTGCCCTGAACCCGCTCCTCCTTTCCTGGAAAATGGGGTTTGGAGGCAGGGCTCTGTCATCAAAGGCAGTTCCAGGGTCTCTAGACAGGAGTGGACTTCGCTGTACACTTTTCCTGATGCTACAGACCAAACTGCCTTCCTGGTTTCTCTGACGGGCTTATGGGATGCCTATGAGGTTCGCCTTTCCACCGGGGGAACACATTCAGCACATTGCCCTCTCCTGACTTTGGTCCAGACCTTTCTGAGTGTGTAAACACGGGCTCGCCATGTGAGTCTTTAGGCAGCTCTGCCATGTTGTCTTCTCTTTCATGGATTCATTCATAAAACATCTTCTGCGCTGCTCTTGGGTGGGCTTTATGCTAGAGCACCAACACAGTGTAGGGAGCTAATTGCCCTTCCTGTGTTTTGGAGCCTCAAGTCTGGAGGAGGAGATGGAGGAGGAGATAGAGGAGGGAGTGGCATCCGAGCCCCTGAGTGTTGCGAGTGCTAAGGGCAGGGACCAAAGGGGCACAGCCCCAAACCAGACTGAGGACACTCAAGCAGGCTCGGAAGGTGAGCAGGAGATAGAAAAAAAGGAGAGAGAGAGAGGAGGGTGGGTGATGGCACAGGAAGAGAAAACTTGGTAGAAGGTGAAAAATAGCAAGTTACAGCAGAACCACAAATAGCTCACTGTCACTGGATGATAATTTGAGGCAACGTGCAAAGGGAGGTGAGGCTGCACAGCTAGCTGAAGAGCTCTGACTGCATCCTGAAGGCTAGCAGGTAGGCCCAGGAGAGTTTCAATACTTTGGTCAGATTTGTGGTTGAGAACACTGGTTCTACTGGCCAGGTAAAGAAGGGCCTGGCAGAGTGAGGCTGAGGCCAGGTAGGAGGTGGCTGCTGTGGGATCCATGTGAGGATGACTCTGGCCTGGGTAGGAGAGAAGTCATGGGCAAGGCACAGTGGATGACTGGCGAGATTCGGGATTGAGGGAGAGTGAGGAGCAAGTGTGTACCTGGTGTCTCACTTGGTGATACCTTCTGGGAGGAGAAGCCAGAAGTTTCAGCTGAGTACACGCTGAGTCTCAGGAGGTATCCACAGCCCTCTGGGTTTAATAGGTCTGGAGAGAAAACCGGGCTAGAGGTGGGGAGTTGGGAGCTGTTGGCCTGTAGGTGGTAACTAAAGCTGGGAGAGGGGGTGACACTGGTCTGGGAGAGATGATGGAGTAAACAGAGTGGGAGCATGACAGACCCCAGAGCATCAGCAAAGGGTCAGCATGGCAGACGGAACAGGTGGGGGAGCAGGGTGCTGAGAGGACCAGGAGTAAGGCCGGCAAAGAGACCTTCATGGAGACAAGGAGACTCCAATGGCCACAGCAGGGAGCAAAGTCAGGAGAGCTGAGAGGTGGGAGCTGGGTTTTAGGTGCTGAGATGGTTTCTGGGAAGTGAGGAAACAAGCATTTTAAGAAAACTGGCAATAAAGAAGAGAGGCAGGCCCATGGCTGACTGTGCACATGGGCTTGAAGAAGACAGCTTTCTGGCTGGGAGCAAGTCTGTGATGAGGAGATGCCCCAGGAGAGGGAAGATTAGGAGAAATAGGAGTGAGGATGGATGAAGGCAAGATTTAGGGATGGGTTAAAATCCATTCTTCATTGGCCTCTAACCTGCTGTATAACCCTACTCATCTCCTTGTGAGTGTGATGAAAGGGGAGTGGAGGGCTCCCAGATCTGACCAGCCATGCCCCGCCATGGGGCTCCCCAAGGCTCCAGCAGGGAGTCCCATGGGATCCACTGTCCCATCGGTGGCCCGGCTGGGCACAGCCAGAGCTCCCGCTGAGGTAGTGATATCCCTCCTGGCCATTGGTTAACAAAGCACATTCAAATCCACTGTCCCATCTGATCCCTAGCACAGCCCAGTGAGGTGGGGCTTGTTAACCATATCAGACAAGGGAACTAAGCCTCCAGGGAGAGAAGGTCACTCACCAAGGTCACAATAACAAATGGACAATTGGATTCCAACTGAGGTCTACGATTCTATATCCTAAAGTCTTAATTTTATTTTTTTAAATTTTTTGGGGGCAACTTTATGGGGTACATGAGAAATTTTGCTACATGTATATAATGTGTATATAACGTGCAGTGATCAAGTCAAGGTATTTAGGGTGTCCATCACCTGAATATATTATTGTTAAGTACAGTCACCTTACCGTGCTATCAATCACTGAATGGAATCCTTCTGTCTTACTGCATGTCTGTACCTTCAGCCCAGTATTCTTCATCCTCCCGCTCCCTGCACCCTTCCCAGTCTCTGTCATCTACCTTTCCACTCTCTACCTTTATGTGATAGGATTCTGTATCCTCATGGGTCCCAGAGCACAGGAGGGGGCCGGGTCCTGGGCAGGGGCAGGCACCACAGACCTGGGCTCAGAGCCCTCATTCCGCTCAACCTTCCCAGGTAGCTTTCTGGCCCTGAAATGTGATCATCCTTCACAATGCCAGGCCTGGCCTCCAGGTTTCCTGGGGATGTTTCCTCCTCCTCTGGCAGCTGTCATGTCACCTCCCTTTGTCCCCCCACAAATGCTGGGCTCTGGGAAATGGCAGTATTTCTGAGAAACAGGACGTGGCCTGTGGTTTAGGGCTAGCCTGGGGGTGAGGGATGGCCTGGGGCCCCGCTGGGCACAATGGCATCTCTCTCTAGGGCTGGCTCAGCCACCCTGCTTCCCCTCACCCTGGTCCCTGGAAGACACCCCCTGCCTGCCACGTCCTCCATCAGAGTCAGTTCATGGAAGATGAGCAGGAACCGCTGTAGGAAGCTGGCTGAGGTTGGAAAGGGGGTGGGTTGGCATGGGTTTCTATGTATACGGTGTTTTCTCAGACTTTCTAGAATTAGAACTTGGATCTCTGGTACCCAGCTCAAGACTGATTTAATGACCACATGAAATTTGATTTCTCTCACCAATCCCACCTTTTTCTTCCTCCAGCACACATCAGAGCTCACATACTTGCCCAAAGTCAAATAGCAACTGGGACGTGGGGCTGTGATTGGAACTCACAGGGTCTCACTCCAAAGTTCGAGCCTCTCCCGCCGGGTTACAACTGGGCCAAGGATGAGATCAGCCTCCTCACCAGCTCCCCTGCCACCAGCCTTTCCTCTCCCACCGCTGCCCCTTCCCAGTAAGTCTTGCCTATCAGAATGGTCTTTCAAAAACACAAATCTGACCATGCCTCTCCCTTATTAAGCTGCTCCCTAAATGACTTTCCTTTGTCCTCAGGATGACACCAAAGCTCCCCTCCAACCCCTTCATGATTGGACTCCTGCTGCCTTTTCAGTCCAACCCTTGGGTTTATCTCCCAGAAATACCCAAGGGTCCTGCTGCACCATCTGACCGAGTTGGGATGGGTCTGGGCTCCAGCAAGACCTGAATCATGGACTCTGACACCATCAGAACATTCCTTCTCCATTCTCAACTCTGTAGATCCTGAATAGCCATACCTTCTTTCCAACCAACTCTTTCAAGAAGAAGACAACACACTACACACTGTTGAACATCCTAAGAGCTCCCAACCAGATCGGGTACAAAGGAACTTCCCGTCCCATTCCAATAGAAATACTTTGGGGAGGAACTCTGACTGGTCCATATTGGGTGACATACAGCCAGTCTTGGGTGGTCAGGGATGAGGTATTAGCATCACATGATTGGAGTAGGGGAAGAGCAGTGCCCCAAAATAAGGGAGTAGGTGGCAAACACAGAGAGTGGTTACCAAAGGGATCCCTGTTCCCAGGCTGCCACTGCTACAACTTTCTTGAACCTGTGTCCTCTCTTCCATGCCTTTTACAAGCTGTTTCCTCTTTCTGAAATGCCTTTCCCTATTTTATGCCTGTACTATTTCATTTTATCTTTCAAGATCTCCTAGAAAATCCCTCTCTAGTCCTTGGCTGCCCCAGCATTGTCTGCTCCTCAGTAGTGGAACTCATCCTTTTGTACTGCAGTGATCTGGTCCTCCCACAGGACAGTTAGTGTCTGGAATCCGAGACCACATGTTATTCATCTCTGCACTTCCAGCCCCTAGCATGGTTCCTAGCCCACAAGAGGCATTCAATATATGCTAATTGAAGGAAGGAAGAATTACAATGATGGTAAAGGCAACAGTGGTAAGATGTGATTGACTGCTGACATATAGTAGGTACTCAATAAATGGTTGTTCAATCCTTGAATGATCACCACTACCATTGTCACTGCCATTACCACCACCACCACCACCGTTACTGCCACTTCCACCACTAGGACCACCCCTTACACATGCAGGGCCCAAGCAAGAATGCATGTGAAGACTACGTATCACATCCTGAATATTTAAAAGTTATAAATCAAACAAAACTATTACATGAATATGTTTTGTGTTCCTACCTTGACAATTATAACTTCTTCACGGCCTGGAAGGCCAAATTCAAATTTAAAATTTTCTGACTTCTCTGAATTCTTGGCCAGAATATGTAAACCCAGGGAGAGCCAACCCTTAACCCCTGGCTTCCAGCTGTTGGCCCACCTCTCTCCTCATTTCATCTCCATCCTCTACTGTGAGGGGTCCCGTACACACACGTATGGACACCCCAATCTGCATGTCTATGGTGGTTTTAAAACATGTCCACAAATGCTTTTATACTCCTCCCATTGAGAGGGGCCCATGTCCCCACCCCTTAAATCTGAGTAGGCTGTGACTCATTTGTACCAACAGAATGAAACAGAAATTATAAGGGGTGATTTCCAAGGCTAGGTCAGAAAAGGCAATGCAGCTACTGCTTTGCTTACAGAGATAACTGCTTTTGGAGCCCTGAGCCATTTGCACAAAGTCCAGCTGCTATGAGGCCACCATGCTGTGAGGAAGCCAAAACGACATAGGTGACACACACATATGCTCCACTCAACAGACCCAGCCGAGCTCTGGACCAACTATCGGAAACACCAAGCAGATATTAACATAAAGACTCCTCCAGGGGGATCCAGCCCCCAGCTTAGAGTTTCCCCAGCTGAGACCCCAGGCGTTGTGGAACAGAGACAAACCATTCCCACTGTGCCATGCCCAAGTTGCTGCCCCACAGAATTCATGAGGATTGAAAAACAGTTGTTACTGGGCATGGTGACTCACACCTATAAACCCAGCACTTCGGGAGGCTGAGGTGGGAGGATCATTTGAGCCCAGGAGTTTAAGGCTAGCCTGGGCAACATAGCGAGACCCTGTCTCTATAAAAAATAACAGCTGGGTGCGGTGGCTCACGCGGATCACGAGGTCAGGAGATCGAGACCATCCTGGCTAACACGGTGAAACCCCGTCTCTACTAAAAACACACACACACACACAAAAATTAGCCAGGCGTGATGGCAGGCACCTGTAGTCCCAGCGACTCAGGAAGCTAAGGCAAGAGAATGGCGTGAACCCAGAAGGTGGAGGTTGCAGTGAACTGAGATTGCACCCCTGCACTCCAGCCTGGGCGACAGAGCAAGACTCTGCCTCAAAAATAAATAAATAAATAAATAACAAATAACAAATTACCTGGGCATGGTAGCACACGTCTGTAGTCCCATCTATTCAGGAAGCTGAGGTAGGAGGATTGCTTGAACCCAGGAGGTCAAGGCTGCAGTGAGCTATGATCATGCCACTGTACTCCAACCTGGACAACAGAGCAAGACCCTGTCTCAAAAAAAAAAAAAAAGAAAGAAAAAAGAAAAGTCGTTTGAGCCGCCAAATTCTGGGGTAATTCGTTATGCAGCAAAAGCAAATGGA